TTGATCTTTTAAGTCTGCATATTTACCTTTATTATTTAGCTATCGTAGCATAATTTAGAAGCCAAAGGACTTGATGTGCGTCTCCTACTACCAGCTGGTTATTTTAAATTCAAAACATGTGCAATTAGGATACAAATAAGAAGAGGAACAAAAAGAAAAAGAAACTAAGCTGTAAAGCTTTTATCATAACCTGGTGAATTACAAGCGGATTCCCAGAGAGAAGAGTCTGCTGAGTTTTTCCTCCTGACTCAATAAAACACAATTCTTTATTAAATCTTTATTTTAGGAAGTCACATTTCAGCGGTGGACCTTTCATCTACCTTCACTTTTTTGTTGAAAGCTTTCTTTAATGTTTATATTTCTATCTATCCTGAGCTACAAGCCTGAGCAATAAAAAAAAAATGTTGATAAACGTCTTAAGATTCATATATTTGTTAAACTTCCTTTGCACGTATTGAGTCATCTTTTCCCAAAATCACTGCCCCACACCAGCGTGAGGTGAGGTCAGGGGTCAACGTCGTCCCGCTCCACGATCTGTGACATGCAGCAGCAGAAAACTGTTTTGTTTTTCATCTTTCTATCTTTCTCTCCACTGTTTAAAAATACATCAGCATGGCAGGCTACAAAAAAACCCCGTCAGGCTTCTGATCGGGTGGCGTTTTGAAGTAAAAGGAGCATGTGGGCGAAAAGCAACATGTGACAGGTACACGCAGCAGACGATCAGAAGGTGCTAAGATATTTATTCTACAGACGGACTCAGCGGAGCGGGAAAGTTTTGGGGTTGTGTTCACAGAATATGAATGCCTCTCATCTTTCAGGCGTGTGTGCATAGCATCCAAAATGTAAAGTGAGTTTGTGTACGCAGCCCTCTTAGATCCTGTTTGTGTCATCAGAATGACACCGTTACAACCAGATACAATAGTTCAACACTGTCTTGATACAGACTTATCATTTATAAACAACGCTGTATTCTAAACAAGAAGGCAAGATATGTAAAGCAGAATAAAACTGCCAATAAAACAAAATAAAGAAAAAAAAATTAGAGCTCTCAATAGATGGGTTACTGCATTACACAGCGAGTAAAGGTTAGAGCAGCATTCACCTTAAAGGTATACTATGCAACCGGTGTTGATTTTCCAGCGAGGCTCCCCCCAGAGGGCGAAAGTAAAAGTGCATCGTCGTAAATATGCTCAGCTTTTCTCCTGGTTTCTCCGTCAAGCCAGGCGCGGTTGATTTGAGCTTAGCAGACAGGCGAACGCAACGAATCACCATGTCTACTAGGGGTGTAAATCACATCCATCATGGCGATTCGATTCAGTATTGATTTCCTGACCCAACGATTCGATTATTTTCGATACTCAAGAGTTCACCACGATGCGATTCGATTATTATTTTTTTGTTTTACACCTTACAGGCTAAACAAAGTTTCAAGTTCTTAGATAAATCAATGAAAGCTGTAATATTGTTATGCATTTTTTAAAAGAAACAACAGCAAATAACAGAAGTAGAAAAGTTGCATCAAAAAATACTGCAAAA